AGAACGACAGCAACAAGTAACAACATCGGCTGAAAGATATATCATCAGGAAGGAGTACGCCAGCAACTAACACAGCAAATCGTAGTGAACCGGGGACAGAATGTCTCCCATGCGGATTTGATTTTATATACAGTCTAGTGTAGTTATAAACCGAAGTAAAACCACAGTAATAACGATGGCATTATTATTTGTATATCCCTAGGGCAGCATACCGACCAATCGAGTCGAGCAGCTGCAATCCAGAAATATATATCGATATATGTATACATATTCAAGTTGCATCAGTTTCTGTTCACCCCCTACACCCAACGCACCCGCTCTTTGATGATTTTTGTGACCTTGTTGCCTTGAGTGGTAGACCCGCCTGCCTGTGCGAGTGTGTGGCAAGTGGAATCAGTTGGACATGTTCAGTCAGACGCGATGAAATGATCTATTATGTTCCCTTTTCACAAGTACTACTTTATCAAGAGACACAGATACCGCCAATAAACGATGAAAGCGAAACTACACTACAAGCAAACACACACACACACTCAGAAAACATAAAACTTTCAACACAAACGATTAATGTTTATTATTTGATTAAAACGTAAGCCACAAATGAGATGCATTCAGTTTTCGGGAGCGGGATTCGTCCCAGGAATATGGAATCAGAGCGAAAAGTTTTTAATATTTGTATTTTGCATTAACACAAATGGAAAAATAATGAAAACAAAACCAAACTAAATGTATGACGAGGATTTTATAATTTTATAAAATGCCAGTACCACATATATATATATAAATATATATAAATACATTTAAATATACAGTGCATATATGTGTGTGTCTCTTTTTGTATTTTGTACCGTCAATCGTGTAAATTCTCACACAGAAAATGTTTAAACAAAATAACACTCAAGGGAAAAGTGCCGTTTTCTACAGCAACAACAGCAAAAAACAACCGCAGAGAAAAAAATCAGAATATTTTCTATATAAGTGTAACTACGCTACTATTTTCTACAGTTACTATTACACAATTTACTAAATTTATAAATAAAGAAAAAAAGAAATACAAAGAAACAAAAAAAAAACACTAAGATCGAAAACAAGAGTCGAAAGTAATTTGTAATTTTGTGCATTCAAAGTTTTGCTTCCTATACAATAAAAAAAACACACACATTTACCAGATTACCAAAATTAGAATTATATAAATTCCATATATGAACATTTAAAACGAAAAACAAAAACCAAACATGCATATTATTTATAATTTTTTTCAAATTGACCAGAAATTACGAATCCGAAGTTTGGTGTCTTTTGTTAATTGAAAGAGCAAAGCAAATATTTAAAAAAAATTATGTGAAGCGTGTCAGAGGAAGAGAAAATGAAGATTATTTAAATAATAAACAATTTTTCGAGAGTCTATTGTGCATTTTGCATAATATTCCTTACAATAAATTAGAAAAATAATGAAAATCATCAAAAAAAATTGAAGAAAACAAAATGGAAATGAATAATTAAAGGTAAAAATATTTTACTAATATACATACATATATTACATATATAAAAAAATAAATAAAAAAAGTAAAAACGATACAAAATCAAAATGATCGAGTTTTATTTATTTAATTCCAGTGAAACTCGCTTTTCTAACGGGGAGGTTCCAAAAATGTTTATTGAGGGAATTGTTTTTGTTCATATTTTGTTTTCCATTGTGCATTAGTATTCCATTTTTGTTTACATTTGAAATGTACATAACATTGTGAATAAAAATGGAGTTTTGGTTTCTCATTTTTGTTGGGTATTACAATTCAATATTATTTGCACCGCTTTTGGAACATGTGTCTTTCGTTTTCAAAACGACCAGAATCACAACAGAACGATGGTATTAGATACATTGGTAAAGTTTCTAAGATGTTTCATATGGCATTTTGTATGCTGAGTCGCTTGAGTTGCAGTTGGGAAGGTGAAAAGCGTTCAAAGCTAGCGTTTTCGTTAGTTTAACCTGCATTCGATTTGCGCTCTTGTGTTGGTTTTCTTGTTGTTGGGGGATACACACAAATTAGTTATCGAACGGTTACATGAGGGTATTTTTAATAACAATTTAATATGTAGCTATGGTAGGTCAAACGTTCAACGCTGTTTACATGAATGGGTTTCATAACAAATTTTCGGAGTAATTAAAGCCTTTTAAAACTGTTGTTTGTGTCGTGTAGTGTTTACTGTAGTAGTGATGATGATAGTTAATAATATTAACATTTAATGAGAGGAACTCATGGTGAATGCATAGAGAACGTGATGTGTTGCGTGGTGGAGTTGTTTGGTGTGTAAAAAGTAATTAACAAATGTGTTAAACTAATAATAAATAAACTTAGAAGTAAACACGTGTCCTTAACAATAAACATATAAACAATAAACATTTCTCAAACTTAAACAACAAATGCAATCGGCTGTCTTGGGCTTAAGTTACATACATACATTATCTCTCTGTATATTTAGGTGTATATCATATATATATGATATATTATCAATTTGGATTTGGATTTGAACAAAGCTCCAGGTTAAACACACATTCTGAAATGTTCCCGCGTTTTACATACTTATAGCGTAGATCGATCGATCTATATATATATTATATATTAGTATACATTAAATTCAACATTTATTCGATTAGTTAAATGTGTGCTCGTGTGTGTGTGTGTGTTGCGTTTCCTGCTGGGGTAATACATGCATTACATAAGTTTAAAAATCCATCATCTCTACTTGCTCTCTAGTTATTTTCTTCCAATATCCATCAAGCTCCCTTCCTGACAGTAACGCTTGGCATTCACATTCACTTGTGTTGTGCATTGTGTGTCCTTTGCTAGGATTCAGATCTCTCAGGTGTGTCACGAGTTGTTTAAAGATATATTGATTTTGGTTTCGCGTTGCTTCGTTCCGGTCTAAGCCTCAGGGGATTGAAGCTATCGAATTTAAATGCATGTCTACTCGTAGCTTCTGCTAATTGCCAGCCAATCTGTCGTACCTGCTTCCTCATCTACGCCTCGCCTCGCATTGCCTCGCCCTAGGAATCAACGTTATTATTTGTATTTTTTTGACTACATAAACCATATGTACGTGCACTGTTAATATGTATCTATCATTTTGGATCGGTGCTTAAACATATTGATATACTCTATCGTCTACCTTCGCTCGCTGCGCCTATCTTTGCTTGTCTGGCCAACAACAAATACATTAAATAGTTTGTAACAAATAATAAATAAACGACTGACCGACCAACCCTATCCTTCCTCTCCTGGTATGGCCATAACAATAATTATGTAGTTTCTTCCATCTCTCGATTGGTAAATTCTTGTGGTTTTGTCTCTGCCTTTGGGAACGTCGATCAATTACAAATAATCGTAGATATCTATATATGATTTGATCTGCTGTTTGTTTAAGCTATATACAGTCCGTGTATATAGCAAACCAAACACAAAAAAAAATATGTTACTCGTATATGTGCAACGACTTGGTTAATATTGCACTGATTCAAAGAAATTGTTAGCGCGCACACTCTTCTGGCTCCAGCTGCAGCGCCTTTTCTAGCTTTATACCCCAGTCTAGTTCAAGTTGCGTCGACGACGGAATACCAAGGCGAATATGGAGCGTATGCGCCACCAGCGGCTGCGGTGGCGCGTGTGGATCTTCTCCGAGCTGCTGTCTGTGCCCTTCTGCAGCTCCTTGCGACGGATCTCACGGACGAGTGTGTAGAACGCCTCGTCGATGTAGTGGCGTAGTGCCGCGGACGTCTCAAAGAACGGACAGCCGAACTGATTAGCCAGATTCTTGCCCTCCTCGGTAGTGACACGACGCTGAGATTCCAGATCCACCTTGTTGGCAATCAGTACCAGTGGTATCTCCTCGGACAGCCGCACCCGGGTGATTAGTTTGCGGTACTCCGATGCCTCCTGGAAGCTGTGGCGGTCGGTGACCGAGTAGCATATGATGAAACCTTCCCCACAGCGCATGTATTGGTCCCGCATGGCCGTGAACTCGACCTGGCCGGCAGTGTCGAGTATGTCGAGCAGGGCGGCCTCGTTGTCTATGACTGCCTGTTGCTGGTACGAGTCCTCTGCGGCAACGAGTCGGCAACATTTAAGGATTAATAAAACGAGTTCAAGTACATCGCGATGCTGCAGCACACTTACCAATGGTCGGGTCGTGGTAGTCCAAGAAGCTGTGGCTCACGAACTGTAAGGTAACAGCTGAACACCCGAACGAAAAAGCCGAGACAGGCAAATTGGCGATGGTGCGTGCGGTGTGTGAGGGTGGGTGGCGATGGGGGACGGGCAAAACAAAGCGTAAAAGAAATTGAGATAATTTATTGATTTTTCGCAACCACAATCAAAGTTCGCAGTGATAACTTTCATTGTAGCGGACATGCTAGCCAACTCACCGGACTTTCCGACACCGCCATCCCCGAGGATGACTATCTTGTACACCCGGAGGCCTCCTCTCATGTTCTGGGGCGGTGCTGGGGCTTGTTTTACGCTGCCATTGTCCATGCGATCGTTGCCAATGTGCATCGAGTCCGTGTCGCCGCCACTAGTGCAGGACCTCAGTTTGCTGGACCTTTTCAAAGCTGCACAACCAATGGACATGTCGCCGGCCATTACTTTTACTCCCTACCCCACAGGGCCGTTGGTCTTTTACTTTTTTCAACAACACGTCCCGCCACAGCCCAGTTACAACTCTATAAACCCGATTCTGTGTATTTATTTTCTTGTTTTTTTTGGGGCTCGGGCTAGTCGATAAAATATACCGCCTGACCCTCAAAAATGTACCAAAAATACCAAAATGTACCCCAAAAAAATTGTTTACATTGATAATTTCATTTCCCCATTGAAATTACATTGCGGCTGCCCGCAGAAAATGCCAATAGATTGAACAAAATACCGAATATTACCTTTTCGCATCCACGGAAAGTCCGGCAGCATCGATCGCAACGGCGCCGTTTTATAAATAATTCCAACGTCGGCGAGCTGCTCGCATTTCGTTACGTACAGCAATCGTGTTCGGGAACGCTGCCAGCCCGGTCTTTGTGGCCACCGACGACACCTAGACACATCTGGATTGAAAAAACAACACAAATTTCTCACCCATAATTGGCATACATTTAGTGTCCGACCAGGAAAATGTCGGGCGACGTGCAGCCGCGTAAGCGCAAGGACAAGCGCAGAAAACGCGGTAAGTTCGCCATTACCCTTCTCCCTTCATCCATCGTTCAACGGTGAGGAATGTAGAAACCGTTAGTTTGAGTAAAATTTCTTGTGGCCGCCGCTAAAGTCGTAGCTCTTCAGTTCATTTCTTTTATTAGCAAAATAATATTGTCGAGTGCCTTTAAAAATAACTTTGCCCTATTATATAAAATTATACATCTCGCCTGTTTCTGTCTCTATGCGTGTGCCGATCCACTATAGAAAAATATTTATGTATATGTATTGGACAGATGCGGGGGTCTATGTGTGGTTTTTATGACGCGTCGCAAGGAAAAGGGCATTGAACATTTCGGTTTGGTTGGCTCAAATTTTCATTTGAAATTATTTGGGGGAGCTGCTCTCTGCCTTTTATCTCTTGTCTGCGCTATCCCGGGACTGCTATCTCATGTCTTATCTACAAAGACTAACAACTGAGGGAGGCTAAGAAATCATCACGGCTATAATTCATGATTCCAATGATATTAATACGCTGCACAAAGACTCAGAATGACACTTCCCGTTTTGTCTGTGACCATTACACCCACCACAGAAGATTCTCATTTTGGTCAGGCCGTGCAAAGAAAACATCGAAATTATATGTAAAACAATTTAATTTCACTTGGCCATCTGCCCAAGAGCATGACTGGCGGGTTCTTTGTTTATTATTGCACATATTTAGGCATAAACAATGGCCTCTCTTATCGCATTGTAATACCGGTGTCGGGCTAGAACATTTTAAACGGCTTTGGCATTACTCTGTAACTAACTTTTTGTGTTTAGATGATCGCAAATCTGACGGCGATGTGACTGTGCTGCGTCAGTCCAGCTTTCAAGGTAGCTAAAATCACCTCCGTCCCATATCCACATCCGTTGTCCTACCCTCTGCAGCCCCACAATCGCTTTCTAAACCAAATTAAAGTCTCTAGTAGTTACTAAATCAACCGCTTGTCTATCCCCACGCTGTCTGAAGGTGCATTTAATTAAACAATTTGTAATCACATGTGTTTATTATTCACTACCATGCAATCGCACACACAAAATCCACAGATGACGACGAGTCTTCCCATGGCGTCCACATTACAAAGATGGGAAACGACGATGTACACTTGCACGTGCATCACGACCACGGCACCGGCGGCAATTGGTGTGCCAAGATCATATTCTTCTCTCTCATGGCAGTACTCTTGGGCCTTGTGGGCCTGATCATCTTGGAGAATCGTGGCCTTGAAGACAGTAAGTCCAGAAATCACTAAACGGAAGTGTTTTGGTTAACGAGAATTCATTTTAGTGGATACACCGCTGTCTGAGTCGCGCTTCTCCAACTATTTTAATGGTTTGGTCGACGAACATCGAGGGGAGCATGATGCCCATGATGTGCACAAACCATCTGGGGAGGCTTTGGATGAGCACGATGATCATGATGAGCATGATGAGCATGACGATCACGACGAAGAAGGTGGGTAAAGCACATAAATGCAAGACTCTCTTGTTAAAGCTTTTGTTTATATTCTAGAAGAGCCTCTTTCGGAGGAACTAGAAGAGGAAGACGAGGAGGAAGAGGAGGAGGAGGAAGAGGAAGACGTACCAGAGGAAGTGGCGGAAACAGAGCAAGAAGAGGAAACAGAGCAAGAGGATAAAACAGAACAAGACGAAGATGAAGATGAAGATGAAGAAGAGGTAGAGGAGGAGGAGGAGCAGAAAGAAGACGACGACGAAGAGGAGGAGGATAACAATGCTGGCGAAAACATCACCGCCGAAGAACCCGAAGAAGACGAGCTGGACGATGACAATACGGCAGAGCCCTCTGTTGAGGCTACCGCAGAAGCCACAGTAGAAGCCACCGCCGAGTACGATGTGGAGGATCCCGACGAGGATGAACCCGATGACGATGCCGAAGATGATGTGCCAGAGTCTGAGGAACCAGCTCCTACTACAGCGGAATTGGATGAGGTATAATCTAGGTTTTTGTTGACTGTTGAGCACAACTTCTAACTGGCTGTCTTGTTGCAGGATAAAACTGCTGAACACGATGAGGCCGAAGAGGAGGAAATCAAAGAGTCTGTTCAATGGAAAGCACAAAGTTCCCCCAAGAAAGTCACAACGAAATATTACAAAGATAATGAAGATGATGAGGTGAGAGAAAAGAATTTCTCTGGAGACAAGTTTCATATATTTACTCAATTTGCAGAAGAAATACGATGACGATGATGACGACTTTGAGTCCCTAGACGAGGATCCCGAAGAGCTGGCACGTCAAGTGAGAAGAGCCAACGCTGCGGATAGCGAAGAGCAGCAACAAGACAATAATGAGGAAGAGCCCAAAGAAGAGGGCTCCTCCTGGTTGGCATCGCGTAAGTTGACTCCCTGTTTGGGGAAATTGCCAATGGAACAATGAACGGAACTCCCCTTAGGCCCTAGAACGTTAAGAACTGACAGACCATCTCGTACTCCACCTTACTACACACAAACCACACACTTAAAATATTGTACAAGAAAGTGCAAAACGAATCTTGTTGTTCTCTGATACTAAAACCTGAAATCATTTTACAGTTGCCGTTAAATTTGGCGTTGGCGTTGCACTTGCCTTAGTTTCACGTCTTGTATTGAACAGGAAAAGTCCGAATACAAGTGAGTCTTCAATGCTTGACCTACTTTACTCCTCCATTGCTCTCTGCTCTATGATCTGTGATCTGTGATCTGTAATCTCTGCCAAAGCACGCCCAAAATCAATGTTAATGCATATCTCTATACTCTATGTTCCGGCAATTTGTAACCAAAGCGACGCTTTCCTTTCTAACCCATCCAAAAGCCTCTAAATTGGCAACAAAAACCATCTCAATGTCTCCAGATATCGATGTGTGACGTATTAACAGAACTAAAACAAAGTCTCGGCACTCGATTACTCTCTTTTACTTTTCGGTTTTGCAAACATTTCCAAACTAGTGTTGATGAATCGTTGCCTGAGCTCACATTTTGCACTTTCTTTATTATTTATTACATTACTTATGATTATGATTTTGTAATTTTTGTAATTTTATTGTAGTCACAGCTTTGTTTAACTATTTCCACCAATGTATATGTATGTATGGAAATTGCTGTATGGCTTTCTTGTTGCTCGTATAGTAATAGTTTAATCCGCATTGTGTTGACCCAAAATACATATATTCCGTGATGAATGTGTAGCCGAAGATGAGCCGCCCCCACCGGAGGCGATCATGAGGCGCCGCCTGACGATTGCCACGGACGAGGATCAGATACCAGACGACCTGGAGGAGATTCCGCTGCTAGACGATGGTTGGAGATCACACTTATATCTCAATTCAAAACTTCGGCCTCTCGAAGTTGCTTCGAAATCATTTCTAGACACTGCTGGAAGTGATCTTGAAGCCTTTAGTTAGGGTCCAAGATGTATCCATTAATATTAATTTGTATAATATCAAATATTCCATCACAAAAACAAGAATATTCCGAGGAGGAAATCGAAATCGAGGAGGAGATCGAAGTGGAGATCAGCGACATCGAAGAAGAGGATGCCGGTGCCAGTTCAGGTGACTGTGATGTGGCATTATCCGCCAGCTATGTACCCGAAACCTTTGAGCAATTGAGCTCCATGTACAAGTCATCGCCAGAGCCACCGAATGAGACGAAACCCCAGGAGCCAAAAGAGACGGAGGAGCCATTGAAACCGTCGGGCTTCAGTGATCTTTATGTGGAGTACGAGGACGGGGCCATTGAGGATTACGAGCACGATGGAGAGACAGATGAGGAGGACGAGATAACCGACGAGGAGGAGGACGAGATATCCGATGTGGATGATGCCGATCTAATGAGCAGACTGGAGGCCAAATACGGCCGTCTGCCGGTTAAGGAGTTCGAAAGCGATCCGGACTCTGACGATCCCACCTGGACACGTAATTACTAAATGTACAATTCACACAGTATCGCCACCGTCTCTCGATGTCCTCCACCGCATTGACTTATCCGACATACTCTCGTATTGTTTAAGACTCTAAAATAATCTCAGTCATGGCCATAAGCTACACTCTACTTTAAGACACACCATCTGATCCATAACCGAGCCGTAAGTGAAGAACTTCTCTTACTCCTACTATCCTACTACACTTCATATGTATAAGGTGGAGCTCTGTTTAGGCCCTTAACCGTTCAAAGTTCCTCCTCTTTCACTGCATTAATATCTAATTCAGTCATTCTTTAACCCATTCAGAAATTAAACCCAAAGAGGTTCCAGCTTCGGCTCCAGCTTCGACTCCGGCACCAGCAGCAGAGGACTCCTTTCAACAGGAGCTGCGCAAGGCTAATGCCGAAATAATCCGGGAGGTAGGTCACAGACTAAACGTCTTTGTGCAGTCGGAATAACCCAAAGAATCTCTCGATATATCTCTAGCTCAACAATCATTAAATCACATAAAAAACCAAACCCATTTCATAGCTTTAGTTTCATGTTTGCTTTGCTAGTCACTAGATCTATTAACTGTTTAGCTTTATAAGAATCGAAACATAAGATTTGGCTTGTTGGAAACCCACTTGTCAGGGCGTTTTGAGCTGGGCACATCCACGGGGCGGCCTCCTCCAGTCAGACACACACACACACCCCTACTGGATAAGTTCTCCTCGATGGGATGTCTCCCTGCACTCGAATCCCCTGACAATTGTGATTCCCTCTCTAATGAGCTTCTTTATATACTTTTTGTACTAATTGCATGTTCCGTGAACCCTATCTAACCCGTCTTTGTGTGCGTTTTGGCTGACGAACCGCGAACTAATCCCCGCCCAAAGAACTATGTCCAAGCCCTGCGCTCGTTTAACACGCTCATTCAACACTATGCCGACGAGCCCCTGGCCCATCTCGGCCATGCCCGCCTGCTGGAGCGTCTGGCAGAAAAGGAGCGCAGCAATCAGCGACTGTGGCAGGCCATTGATGCCTACAAACGATATCTAGCCTTTGGCGAGCTGGTGGCCAGCGATGGAGAGTTTCTTTCTGCCGGAGAACGCTGCATCCAGCATTTGCGATTCATGGGTGAGTATTTTGTTGCCAGTGTTAAAGAATATTCTAAAGAATTATCTCCTTTAGGTTATCATCAACAGTCGGTGAACATTCACGAGCTACTCATCGAGCGTTTGCCCGCTGATCCCAGACTGCGCAATCAACTCTCCTTTACCCATCTTACGGCCAATAAGTAGGTGAGCTAAGGTTCAAGGGGAAACCCCCAGTGCGGCTCTCATCTCACACGATTGCTTGCAGCATGCGGCAGGTGAAGCTGGTGGCAGCTGAAACCCTGAAGCTCTGGCCAGACGATCCTGTGGCGCAACTCCACTTCGGCCTGGCAATCAAACAGCTCCATGGAGACTACGAACAGGCGCTGCCCTACTTGCAGAACGCCATAGAGTCCAAGGCAGAGGGCACACAGGAGGGTTACTTCTATCTAGCCTTGGGGGAAACGCTGCAACGTCTGTACAGACAGCAAGAGGCTGTGGAAGTGCACAGGCAGGGCGTGGCCAGGGGACTCATTCCCAGCGTCTACCAAAGATCGTTGTACAATGAGCCCCAGCTGAGAGCACAACCCTTTTGGCAGCCATCGGAGACGGGATACGCCTCGCAGCTGAGGAAACTGCAAGAGAATTGGATGTCCATCCGGGAGGAAGCCCTGTCCCTGCTCAGCCATCGCGGTTACTTTGCAGATGAAACGGAGAATCTGCGCCACAAGGGCATCTGGCAGCAGTTTGAGCTCTTTGCAAAGGGTCAGCTTCATGGGAAGAACTGCCAACGAGCTCCCATTACCTGTGGCCTGATGAAGGCGTTCCCCGAATCCAGCGGCTGTCGCAGGGGACAGGTGAAGTTCAGTGTGATGCAGGCAGAGACGCATGTGTGGCCGCATTGTGGTCCCACTAATTGCCGCTTAAGAGCGCATCTCACGCTGGTGGCACCAGAGCCAGAGCAAACCTCACTTCGAGTGGCAGAGCGGGAAATGTGAGTGCAAATCTAAGTTTACCCCTAACAAAATTTCATAAGTTTTTACCTTCTTAGAACCTGGCGTGAGGGCGAACTAATTATCTTCGACGACAGCTTCGAGCACGAGGTCTGGCACAATGGCACTCGTCCCCGTCTGGTACTCATCATAGACATGTGGCATCCAGATCTAACTGCCACACAGCGTCGCACTCTGACGGCCATCTGAGAGCAATATTGAGCGTCTTGATTAGATTTCAAAGTGGTTACGGTTCCTAGGCTACCCAAATAGACAATTTCCGCCTTCCCCTTTTCGTTCATTGTTAGTTGAATCATTCACTAGTTATAGAGCCATTAGTAGATTAATATCTACGTCTGTATTTGTACCTCTTAATTGTTAAGCTCAGTCGAATGCGTGTTTAGGCCATAGGAAAATGCACTCTCGATATGTATTTTACATACAAACTGCTTTGGTGGGCAGCAACTGTTTGCCTTTTGTACATTAACTACAAAATCAATAATAAAAGTTTTTTAGGATTTCAAAATAGATGGAATTAACTGTCGGGGAGGTTGGGCAACATTTCAGCACGCTAATGTGTTCGCTTAATCATTTTTACTATAAAAACGAGACTCACTCGGATTCCCATAAATCAAACCAATAATGCGCCTGCTCTGGTCTGGAGTTCTGTTGACTCTATCAGTCTGTGTGCGTGCAGCGACTGGCGACAATTTAGATGTGTGCCTGAAGGATTTGGGCTGCCTGAGGGGCACCCAAATGCCAGGCTATCAGGGCGACGAGTTTGAAGCGTTCTTGGGCATACCATTTGCTCAGCCTCCTGTGGATTCCCTCCGACTCAGAGTAAGTTAGGGAAATTGCATTAATTTTTAGCAGATTTATATACAAGTTTATGTAGAATCCTGTGCCTGCTGTTGCCTGGGAGGGCATCCTGGATGCAGGTACAGCAAAGGACAGTTGCCTGCAGAGGAACTACTTGGCCGCCAATTGGCCAGTATCGGGCGTGGAAGATTGCCTTTACCTCAATGTCTACAGACCCAAGGTTATGCTTGATGTGCAACGGAAATCCAGAGATGATCTAACTTTCATTCCTTGCATAGAAACGAAATGGAAATCCCTTGCCCGTCATGTTCTACATGCATTCGGGGGGCTTCCATACCGGCTCTGCCCATCCGGTTGCCAGTGGACCCGAATATTTGATGGACACGGAGCAGGTGATCATGGTCACCGTTCCCTATCGCTTGGGGCCATTCGGTGAGCTCAGAGGAAGCTGAAATACAGACTTTATTCTAGAGATTATGTCTTGCAGGTTTCCTGAGCACTGGCGATACGAGTATGCCTGGAAATTTCGCTCTGAAGGATCAGCGCCTGGCCATGCAGTGGGTGCAGCAGCACATCGCAGACTTCGGAGGTGATCCCCAGCTGGTGACAATCTTTGGCCACAGTGCGGGAGGAATGTCTGCCCACTATCACATGCTCAGCCCCAGCTCAAAGGGTGAGCTTCATTGGTCTCTCATTGGTTGCTCTCTTGAATCTCTTCTTCCCACTAGGTCTCTTTCACCGGGCCATGTCATTGGATGGCACCATTCTCTCGCCATTCGTGAAGATCAACAAGGACCCACTGGCCCAGGCCAGAAAGCTGGCAGCTGTTGCTGGCATCGAGGGGTCAAAAGACTTGAACTCCAAAGACCTGGCCCAAGCTCTGCGTGAGCTGGATCCCATAAGGCTACTTACAGCAGTGGACTCTCTAAAAGTCTGGCACAACTTTCCTTTCGTCTGCAATCCGCCAGTCGTCGAACCTGTTGGATGTCCAGAAGCCTTTCTGACAGAGGACCCTGTGCAGGCGCACCTCGAGGGACGGATCCATCAGGTTCCGTGGCTTCTGGGCGTTAATTCAAGGGCCGGAGAGGGCTCCCTGGTCACTTTACTTCCCTTTGAAGATCGACATTTAAGAGCTGAACTCAACGAGCGGTTCCTAGAGCGTTTTTCTCACATCATCTACTTGCCTGAGGGCACATCTTCACACGTTGTCCGCGAGATCTTAGACGCCTACGGATTCGAGGGAGAGACGATAAGCAACTATACACTGGTGCCGCTGGCCGAGATTTCTGGCGACTTTGGGTTCTACTATCCGCTCTACGAGACGGCCTCCACCTATGCGAAATACGCCAATCTCCAGGAGAATCCACTCTCCTTCTACTTTTTCGAGTACCGTGGCCTGCGCACTCTCTCCACTTTGTTTAGCGGTGGGTCCGTGGAGTATGGGGTAGGTGCAGCTCACATGGACGATGCTTTGCACACAATACGGATTCCAGCTATTGTCGAAGACTATCCCAAGGATTCGGAGGATGCTGGGGTCGTCAAGCGGATGACCTCGATGATGGTTGATTTTGCCAAGACAGGGCGAGGCTTTATACTATTTTCTATGAAAGAATTGCAAGCTACATGATGCTCTTCTCTTCTTTAGGATTTTCCACAGTGGCACCTCCTGCCAGGCATCGGATTTCACGGATCATGAGATGTGCAGCTATGTCCATTTTGGAGGCACCATTGGGAGTTACCAGGAGGACATTCAGAAGGACAGGAAAATGGCAGGCTATGCTATATGGAAAAGATTATTTTTCCGAGATTCCGATTAGACAAAAAGTTTTGTTACTATAGCTGGATCCTAATTAAAGTTACACCACAAATAATGCAAGTTCTTAGTGTAAATGTACAACCGGGCTCGGCACTGCTTTATCTAAGTATTGTGAATGGCAAAAAGCTCTGCCGCTGCGCTGCCGGAACATGTATTGACACAAAAACGGCGCTTGAATGTACATGTATATGCATGTGTGCCGAGCCCTACTGTAAATGCAGCTGACTGCTGTGGACAGTTAGAGACGATTTTTAGTGCGAATAAAAGGCCAACTAATGCCGGTCAAGGGTACGGCCATTTTTGTTGTCACTTTTCGATGCTTGGTGTGGGTTGCTTAGGATTTTGGGGGGTTCGAGTCATGGTCTCGAAGAGAGTATCAAAAGTGAGCAGTGGGTAGAAAGAGACTCACCATCAGTAATTCTCACCTTGCAGGGCTTGAAGCCGGTTTCTACATGGAAGAGTTGAAACAAGCTTTTTTTGGGTAATGGGTAGATTAATACTTTTCCTTTAAATCGCCAACTGGAAAAGGCTATAGCAAAAGTTATAGGCATAACGGTTGACTTTCAATATAATCAATTACTTTTGTTAGTAAAGTCATCACTTGTTTACGTACGTCTATAATTGTAACTATTAATTGTCAAGCTCAGTTGAGTGCGTGCTGAGGTCGTACACGAACACGTACAAAGAGAAAAAGAATAAAACCTTTTATAGGAGTATATAGTTGAAAATAATTGGAATTAACTTGGGCAGCAGGTTGAATAATTGATTATACAAATTTGTGCACTCTAATGAGAATGTGGGACGAAGTCGAATTTCTCTATAAAAGGGAGACTCGATCGGATTCCCACAAGTGAAATCAAACATGCGCCTGCTCTGGTCTGGACTTATAATCATTCTAGCTGTCTCTTCGCGTACGGCTACTGGCGATCCTTTGGATGTGTGCCTGAAGGATCTGGGCTGTCTGCGGGGCACCCACATGCCAGGATATCAGGGCGAGGAGTTTGAGGCCTTCATGGGCATACCATTCGCAAAGCCTCCTGTGGATTCCCTCCGACTCAGAGTAAGTTAGGGAAATTGCATTAATTTTTAGCAGATTTATATACAAGTATATGTAGAATCCTGTGCCTTCTGGTGCCTGGGAGGGCATCCTGGATGCAGGAACAGCCAAGGATGGTTGCCTGCAGAGAAATTACTTTGGTAACAAATGGCCAATTTCGGGAGTGGAAGATTGCCTTTACCTCAATGTCTACAGGCCCAAGGTAACGTTACGATATGTTATGAAAAATCAGGGAAAATCTAGCTTTTCTTTCTTCCATAGAAACGAGATGGAAATCCCTTGCCCGTTATGTTCTACATCCATGGGGGAGGTTTCTTCAGTGGAACTGCACATCCGGTTGCTAGTGGACCCGAATATTTGATGGACACGGAACAGGTGATCATGGTCACCGTGCAATATCGCTTGGGGCCTTTGGGTGAGTTGTGAGGAAGCTGAAATACAGACTTTATTCTAGAGATTATGTCTTGCAGGATTTCTAAGCACTGGTGATACGAATATGCCTGGAAATTTCGCTCTGAAGGATCAGCGCCTGGCCATGCAGTGGGTGCAGCAGCACATCGCAGACTTCGGAGGTGATCCCCAGCTGGTGACAATCTTTGGCCACAGTGCGGGAGGAATGTCTGCCCACTATCACATGCTCAGCCCCAGCTCAAAAGGTGAGGCTTTCACCTAACACTCGTTGAATCGATAACACTCAATTGAATCTTTCCTTCCCTTTAGGACTCTTTCACAGGGCCATGTCCTTGGATGGCACCATTCACTCACCATTCCTGAAGATCAACAAGGAACCCTTGGCCCAGGCCAGAAAACTGGCTGCTGTGGCTGGCATTGGGGGGGCAGAGAGCTTGGACAGCAAGGAGTTGGCCCAAGCTCTGCGTGAGCTTGATCCTGTTGAGCTGCACAAGACGGTAGATTCCCTTAAAGTCTGGGCTAACTTTCCCTTCATCAGCAACACTCCTGTGGCTGAGCCTGTTGGATGCCCAGAAGCATTCTTCACGGAGAATCCGCTCCAGGCGCACCTTGAGGGCCGCATCAATCAGGTTCCATGGTTAATAAGCGTTACTTCGAGGGCCGGAGAGGGAGCTTTGTCGCTTCTGCACGCCTTCGACGATCGACAACTACGGGCGGAGCTCAACGAGCAGTTCCTGGAGCATTTTGGCCACGTTTTGAATTTACCAGAGACCGCATCGCCTCAGGTTGTCCAGGAAATCTTAGACGCCTACGGATTTGAGGGTCAGACGATAAGCAACGATACACTTGTGCCCTTGGCTGAAATCGCGGGAGACTTTGGGTTCTACTATCCGCTCTACGAGACGGCCTCCACCTATGCGAAATACGCCAACCTCCAGGAGAATCCGCTCTCCTTCTACTTTTTCCAGTACCGTGGCATGCGCACCCTCTCGACCCTGTTCAGCGGTTCATCGGTGGAGTATGGGGTGGGTGCAGCTCACATGGACGATGCTTTGCACACAATACGGATTCCAGCTATTGTCGAAGACTATCCCAAGGATTCGGAGGATGCTGAGGTCGTCAAGCGGATGACCTCGATGATGGTTGACTTTGCCAAAACAGGGTGAGTCTCTATAATCTTTTCTATGAAAGAATTGCAATCTCTTCTCTTCTCTTCTTTAGGGTCTTCCACAGTGGCACTTCCTGCCAGGCATCGGAATTCACGGATCATGAGATGTGCAGCTATGTCCATTTTGGTGGCATTGTTGGGAGCTACCAGGAGAACATCCAGAAGGACTTCAAATTGTCAGCCTATCCAATATGGAAAAGATTATTTCCATGAGGACGACAGCAGAATACTGTTTATTATTTCCTCTTAGTTTTTGCACCTGAAACGAGAAATGTTTTGTAGTAATATTTTAGTGTATCTTTTTTGTTACACAATAAATAACTTAACTGGAACTGCAGCCATATAAATGATGTTGTTTATGCGTTGCAGCGTTTGCCTTTGGTGTCGAGTCGCCATTTGGGAGTACGGACGCATCCGTCGCTGTTCCAAATGATCGTTCGTAGTTATTGGGGCAGATCCACCCATCTTACAGTGACTTTTGTGCAAACTCTTTATTTTTGAGTTACAACAAACAATACAAAATTACATGTAACTATCGCTAATATCGAAAACTAAACATTTTTCCATGGATGTTAATGGTGGTCATTGCATGTAAACGTAATACCGCCCCCTTTTGTTCATAGCTAAATATATTAAGTCAGGCATTACTTAAAGATTCATACTTATTAAATGACTCTGTATTAATAGCACTTAATTATTAAGATCAGTGCTTGCTTAGGCCATAGGAAAGTGCACCCTCGATATGTTTTTAGCTTCGATCTGCTTTGGTGGGCAGCTCAGCTTCTGTTTGCCTTTTGAACTTCAACAACAAAAACTTAAAACAATAAAACGTTTTATATGATTTGAAAATGATAAGAATTAACTTGGGAAGCAGGTTGAGTGATTGATTATACAAATTTGTGCACTTTAATGTGAATGTGGAAAAGTCGAAGTTCTCTATAAAAGGGAGACTCGGTCGGATTCCCACAAGTGAAATCAAACATGCGCCTGCTCTGGTCTGGACTTATAATCATTCTAGCTGTCTCTTCGCGTACGGCTACCGGCGATCCTTTGGATGTGTGCCTGAAGGATCTTGGCTGTCTGCGGGGCACCCACATGCCAGGATATCAGGGCGAGGAGTTTGAGGCCTTCATGGGCATACCATTCGCTCAGCCTCCTGTGGATTCCCTCCGACTCAGAGTAAGTTCCATCCATTCGTTTCATAATTTTCTGACCATAACCTTTACCGATCTAGAATCCTGTGCCCTCTGGTGCCTGGGAGGGCATCCTGGATGCTGGCACAGCCAAGGATGGTTGCCTGCAGAGGAACTTTTTTGGCGTAGAATGGACAATTAGGGGAGTGGAAGATTGCCTCTACCTGAATATCTACAGGCCAAAGGTAACGCTTGATTAGCAACGAAAATCAAGCCTTGATTTAAATTTGTGCTCCTCCATAGAAACGCGATGGAAGTCCCTTGCCTGTCATGATATACATCCATGCTGGAGGTTTCTTTAGCGGCACAGCCCATCCGGTTGCCAGTGGACCCGAGTATATGATGGACACGGAGCAGGTGATAATGGTCACCATACCCTACCGCTTGGGGCCATTCGGTGAGCTCAGAGGAAGCTGAAATACAGACTTTATTCTAGAGATTATGTCTTGCAGGTTTCCTGAGCACTGGCGATACGAGTATGCCTGGAAATTTCGCTTTAAAGGATCAGCGCCTGGCCATGCAGTGGGTGCAGCAGCACATCGCAGACTTTGGAGGTGATCCCCAGCTGGTGACAATCTTTGGCCACAGTGCGGGAGGAATGTCTGCCCACTATCACATGCTCAGCCCCAGCTCAAAGGGTGAGCTGCGCTCGTCTGTCGTTGGACGTTCTATTGAATCTTTGCTTCCTTTTAGGACTCTTTCACCGGGCCATGTCCTTGGATGGCACCATTCTATCAGCAGTCCTTCAGATCAACAAGGAACCCTTGGCTCAGGCGAGAAAGCTGGCTGCTGTTGCTGGCATCGAGGGGGCAGAGAGCTTGGACAGCAAGGAGCTGGCTCAAGCTCTGCGTGAGCTTGATCCTGTTAAACTGCACAAGACTGTAGATTCCCTAAAGGTCTGGGATAACTTTCCCTTCATCAGTAATCCGCCGGTCGTCGAGCCTGTTGGATGTCCAGAAGCCTTTTTCACCGAGGACCCGGTGAAGGCGCACCTCGAGGGACGCATCAATCAGGTGCCATGGCTGCTGGGCGCTAATTCAAGGGCCGGAGAGGGTTCTATTGCCGTTCTGCATCCTTTCGACGATCGAAAACTACGGGCGGAGCTTAACGAGCGGTTCCTGGAGCATTTTTCCCATATGCTGCATTTGCCTGATGGCACATCGCCTCAGGTTGTCCGGGAGATCTTAGACGCCTACGGAATTGAGGGAGAGACGATTAGCAATGATACACTTGTGCCGCTGGCCCAGATCGCGGGCGACTTTATCTTCTATTATCCACTTTTCGAGACGGCCTCCAGCTATGCGAAATACGCAGACCTAAAGGAGAATCCGCTCTCCTTCTACTTTTTCGAGTACCGTGGAATGCGCACTCTCTCGACTTTGTTTAGCGGTGCATCGATTGAGTACGGAGTGGGTGCAGCTCACATGGACGATGCTCTGCACACCATACGGATTCCAGCTATTGTCGAGGACTATCCCAAGGATTCGGAGGATGCAGAGGTCGTTAAACGGATGACCTCGATGATGGTTGACTTTGCCAAGACAGGGTGAGGCTTTATACTATTTTCTATGGAAGAGTTTCCAGCTACATGATGCTCTTCTCTGCTTTAGGATCTTCCACAGTGGCACCGCCTGCCNCCTTGGCTCAGGCGAGAAAGCTGGCTGCTGTTGCTGGCATCGAGGGGGCAGAGAGCTTGGACAGCAAGGAGCTGGCTCAAGCTCTGCGTGAGCTTGATCCTGTTAAACTGCACAAGACTGTAGATTCCCTAAAGGTCTGGGATAACTTTCCCTTCATCAGTAATCCGCCGGTCGTCGAGCCTGTTGGATGTCCAGAAGCCTTTTTCACCGAGGACCCGGTGAAGGCGCACCTCGAGGGACGCATCAATCAGGTGCCATGGCTGCTGGGCGCTAATTCAAGGGCCGGAGAGGGTTCTATTGCCGTTCTGCATCCTTTCGACGATCGAAAACTACGGGCGGAGCTTAACGAGCGGTTCCTGGAGCATTTTTCCCATATGCTGCATTTGCCTGATGGCACATCGCCTCAGGTTGTCCGGGAGATCTTAGACGCCTACGGAATTGAGGGAGAGACGATTAGCAATGATACACTTGTGCCGCTGGCCCAGATCGCGGGCGACTTTATCTTCTATTATCCACTTTTCGAGACGGCCTCCACCTATGCGAAATACGCCAACCTCCAGGAGAATCCGCTCTCCTTCTACTTTTTCGAGTACCGTGGAATGCGCACTCTCTCGACTTTGTTTAGCGGTGCATCGATTGAGTACGGAGTGGGTGCAGCTCACATGGACGATGCTCTGCACACCATACGGATTCCAGCTATTGTCGAGGACTATCCCAAGGATTCGGAGGATGCTGAGGTCGTCAAGCGGATGACCTCGATGATGGTCGACTTTGCCAAAACAGGGTGAGTCTCTATAATCTTTTCTATGAAAGAATTGCAATCTCTTCTCTTCTCTTCTTTAGGGTCTTCCACAGTGGCACTTCCTGCCAGGCATCGGAATTCACGGATCATGGGATGTGCAGCTATGTCCATTTTGGTGGCATTGTTGGGAGCTACCAGGAGAACATCCAGAAGGACTTCAAATTGTCAGCCTATCCAATATGGAAAAGATTATTTCCATGAGGACGACAGCAGAATACTGTTTATTATTTCCTCTTAGTTTTTGCACCTGAAACGAGAAATGTTTTGTAGTAATATTTTAGTGTATCTTTTTTGTTACACAATAAATAACTTAACTGGAACTGCAGCCATATAAATGATGTTGTTTATGCGTTGCAGCGTTTGCCTTTGGTGTCGAGTCGTCATTTGGGAGTACGGACGCATCCGTCGCTGTTCCAAATGATCGTTCGTAGTTATTGGGGCAGATCCACCCATCTTACAGTGACTTTTGTGCAAACTCTTTATTTTTGAGTTACAACAAACAATACAAAATTACATGTAACTATCGCTAATATCGAAAACTAAACATTTTTCCATGGATGTTAATGGTGGTCATTGCATGTAAACGTAATACCGCCCCCTTTTGTTCATAGCTAAATATATTAAGTCAGGCATTACTTAAAGATTCATACTTATTAAATGACTCTGTATTAATAGCACTTAATTATTAAGATCAGTGCTTGCTTAGGCCATAGGAAAGTGCACCCTCGATATGTTTTTAGCTTCGATCTGCTTTGGTGGGCAGCTCAGCTTCTGTTTGCCTTTTGAACTTCAACAACAAAAACTTAAAACAATAAAACGTTTTATATGATTTGAAAATGATAAGAATTAACTTGGGAAGCAGGTTGAGTGATTGATTATACAAATTTGTGCACTTTAATGTGAATGTGGAAAAGTCGAAGTTCTCTATAAAAGGGAGACTCGGTCGGATTCCCACAAGTGAAATCAAACATGCGCCTGCTCTGGTCTGGACTTATAATCATTCTAGCTGTCTCTTCGCGTACGGCTACCGGCGATCCTTTGGATGTGTGCCTGAAGGATCTGGGCTGTCTGCGGGGCACCCACATGCCAGGATATCAGGGCGAGGAGTTTGAGGCCTTCATGGGCATACCATTCGCAAAGCCTCCTGTGGATTCCCTCCGACTCAGAGTAAGTTCCATCCATTCGTTTCATAATTTTCTGACCATAACCTTTACCGATCTAGAATCCTGTGCCCTCTGGGGCCTGGGAGGGCATCCTGGATGCTGGCACAGCCAAGGATGGTTGCCTGCAGAGGAACTTTTTTGGCGTAGAATGGACCATTAGGGGAGTGGAAGATTGCCTCTACCTGAATATCTACAGGCCAAAGGTAACGCTTGATTAGCAACGAAAATCAAGACTTGATTTAAATTTGTGCTTCTCCATAGAAACGCGATGGAAGTCCCTTGCCTGTCATGATATACATCCATGCTGGGGGTTTCTTTAGCGGCACAGCCCATCCGGTTGCCAGTGGACCCGAGTATATGATGGACACGGAGCAGGTGATAATGGTCACCATACCCTACCGCTTGGGTCCTTTAGGTGAGCGGATCGTAAGGAAGGAAGTATCATCAACAGTTTATTCTAGAGGTTATGACTTACAGGATTCCTGAGCACTGGCGATACGAATATGCCTGGAAATTTCGCTTTAAAGGATCAGCGCCTGGCCATGCAGTGGGTGCAGCAGCACATCGCAGACTTTGGAGGTGATCCCCAGCTGGTGACAATCTTTGGCCACAGTGCGGGAGGAAT